CAAGCCAAAGAGTTGAAAGCATCAATAAGTGGCCAAGTTAACAAATCAACCTTAACTCTGCTTTCTTGGCAAGATCAGTCTCCTACACTTACTTATTAACAAAACATGTTAATTTGCAACCACTTCTTTGGTGACATTAAATAAATTTAATCTTCCTTTAGACATATATACTCTCATGAGAGCTTTAAAAACTTATATGAACAGCGTAGATATATTAGATTTGGAAGAGACATTGCATCTGTGTACGCTTATTACCAGAATGCTAAAGACACTCACAGTGCAGAATTTGCTTTGTATTTAGTTACTAGCCAACTGCCTGTCAAGAATGACAGGGCACTGCCACCCACCACTCCGTGCCACTGCTGCCTCCCAGGAACTGGGGCGGCGGGGGAAGCTTGCACATGGCCCCCGCCACCCACTGTCTGGCACGGCCACAGATCCACATCCGGCTGTGTGCAAGCTGCCCCCCCAACTCCGCATCCAGCCCTGTGCACCCCCACACACACCCCGCTGCTCTGTGTCCAGGCCCACAACCCAACCCCCGCTGCTCCATGTCCAGCCCCGCACCCAGAGGTGTACTGAGGCCCTGGGCAAACAAAATTGGAGGCAGCTTTGCAGCAGGAGCTGGGCTGCTCCCTGCCCTGCTATGGCCAAACATACACACACTGGCACACACATGCGGGCATGCACACAGACAGGCATATACTCTACTCCCACTCACTCTCTGCACACGGACATGCAGGCACAAACACACTCTCCCGCCTGCCACAAACAGATGCATACACACACACAGACTCATGCACACATGCAGATCGGTGCACACTCTACTCACTCACTCTCTGCACATTAGCACACAGAAAAACACTCTCCCTCCTGCCATGAAAAGACATGCACACACAGACACGCACACACATGCAGACAGGTGCACACACTACTCACTCACCCTCTGCACCTGGACACACAGGCACAAACACACTCTCCCTGCCATGAACACACACACATTCTACTCACTCACTCTGCACATGGACACAGACACAAACACACTCCCTCCTGCCATGAACACAGACACATGCATACACACATGCAAACTGGTGCGCACTCTACTCACTCTGCACGTGGACACACAGACCCAAACACACTCTGCCTGCCATGAACAGACGCACGCACACGCGCAGACATATGCACAAACAGAAGCAGATGCATACAGGTGGCCTGATACGTCCACACAGACACACAGATGCACACTCACACGCAGATAGACACGTGCATGCTTTTTCTCAGCTGGCCCTGCTGCTATTAAATTGATCTTCTCAATTTATTGATTGCCCACGTGTAGAAAAGAGGCACAGGAAGCAGCACTGAGGCTGGAGGAGGAGGTGGGGGTGACAGGAGCAGTCCTACTTTTCCTCAGCTAGCCCCGGTGCTAAAGTGCTCCTGGAAATTTTTTTTTTTCTTCCCCCTGTGGAGGTGGGGCTATGGGAGGTTGAAAAAGGAGGTGGGGTGATGGGGGCTCCCATTTTTCCTCAGCCGGCCCCAGTGCTATTAAACTAATCTTTCCAATTTACTGATTTCCAACTTGTGCTAAAGGGGCACAGGGAGCAGCTCCACCAAGGCTGGAGGAGGTGGCGCCAGCGGAGGAGCTCCCACTTTTCCTCTGCTGACTCCAGCGCTTGTAAAGTGCTCGTGGCAAAAAAAAAAAAAAGATTTGCCTCTCTGGAAGTGGGGCATGGGAGGCTGTAGGAGGAAGTGGCGGTAACAGGAGGGCTCCCGCTTTTCCTCAGCTGGTCCCAGTGCTATTAAATTGATCTTCCCAAGCTACTGATTTCCAAGATGTGCTAAAGGGGCACAGAGGCTGCAGGAGGAGGCAGAGCCGAAGGAGGGGCTCTTGCCTTTCCTCCGCTGGCCCCACCGCTCCTAAATTGCTCC